ATGATCATTCTGAACATTAAATTAAATAAACTTACATATAAACTATATTCAAAACATTCAAACTCTTCAACTCCTAACTATATTACTACATTTTACTATCAATATTCTTGAAATTATTTACATCTATTGGACCTGATAATGGAAATACTACATAATGGTCCCTATCGTCAACTCCACACTCAGTGATGTCACATCAATAGCTTGAAATGGGCCAAGATGGGAGTATCTACACCACGGAAGTTGTAAACTGCTATAAACCAGGGCTTTTTCCCCCTGGAAAGCTGGTTATTATACATTTATGAGCACATCTCTGATGCAGAGTCTCTATTATGTAGTCTTACATTCACTCTTAGATGAATCTGCTTTTGGAATCTTACTTACAGAATCTCTCTAATCCTTATCACTATGCTAATTTTACATAATCAAGCAGCCTATGGCCTTAGCCACAGATAACATGTCACAAGAGGACTATTTGAAGGAAGAAGAATCTTCTTCAACAAACCTTTATTTAGTAGCTACTACGTGCAAAGCTGTGTGAAGGCTAGGGAAGACAGTAGTCTGTGTTCTCGAGGAACTCACTTTAGAGGACGTGACCTGAAACCGTTGACGATACAATATGGTAAGTGGTAAGTGCTCTAATGGAGATACAGAAGCATGAAGGAGAGAGCTAACTCAGACACCATGAAAGAGACTTCAGTGAGAACTTGACCCGCAAGCACCAGCGTCTGTCTTGTTCTCCACTGTGTCCCTAGCACCTAGCACAGTACCTGGCACAGGGGTGGATGAATGAAGGAGGTAACGATTTTGATCCTGGGGAAAATAAGGCTGCCACAGAAGAGTGGGGAGAGGGAGGGCATTAGTAAAGCACAGCACGGCAGAAGCATGGGGTGGGGCGGGCGTGGGGGGCAGCCAAAGAGCTCAGCACATTTGAAGAAAGAGAAAGTTTAATGTGGTGTGAAGTTCCAGGGGTTGGGACCGGTAAGGATGCGAGTATGGAAGAGGGGTTCTCTGTCTCAATCTCTGCAGAGCTCTCAAGAGACAAAAAGAGTTGGCTTGTTCTGCACAGCCCTGCAGGGGAGAGCTAGAAGCCATGTGGGAAGTCACAGAGAATCAGATATCAGTTAAAGAACTTTCTAACAGAGCTGTCCAATAATGCAATGGGCTGGCTGCCTTGGAAGGCAACGAGCAAGTTCCCTAAGAGGGAAGAAACAGGTACCAAACTTAGTACAACAAATTGCTATGGGTAGATACCTTTTTTTTTTTTCTGATTAGATTTTGGAAGAATCTATCAAGTCTCCTTTCTTAAAGGACAACCATCTTAATGCACAACCATCTTCAACACAATTCTACAGAAGACGCAGAGATTTCCCTCAACGGCTTGTTTCTTAGGTCAATCACTGACTAAAACCAACGGCAAGAGGCACGCTGAAGGCTCCCCCATGAAAGAATAATATCTTTTCAAATCACTGAGGTCCTATTGCATTCATGAAGCAATTATTTCTTTGTGTGTTGCCTTGCTAAGTGCTGGAAGTACAGATATAAATGATAAAAGGGCCCTGCTCCCCACAGTACTGAGTAGAAACGCAAAAGAAATATTTACTCCGAAATGCAAATACGTATTTACGCTCCAGTAGCTACAATACAAAGTGCTCTAGGAAACACAAAAACAAAAAATTTGCTTTGATTGGGGGGACTCTGGGAAGGCCTCAGAGAAGAAGTCACTCCGCGCTGACTTTTGAAAAGTTAAAAGGAATTCACTAGCTAGAGGAGGAAGAATATAGTGCAGGCAGAAGGAAAACACATACAAACATATGAAGGTGTGAAAATGCACAGACGGTTTCGGGAAGTGAGTGGCGGAGTGTTGGGTAGATGGTATTGGTAAGCAGGAGCCAAAATTTGCATAGTCTTGAATCCAATGCTAACAATTTTGGATTTTATTCTGTAAATGATAGGAAGCCTATCGTTTTTGTCCTGTTATTTATTTAATAAGCTTTTCATTTTAGAAAGATTTCTTTTTCCATTTTGGAAAGCTTTTAGATTGATAGAAAAATAACAAAGAGAGTACAGAGTTCTTATCTAAGAAGCATATATCCTCCACCCTACTTTCCCCAATGCTAACATCTTACCTAGCCAAGGAACCTCTGTCCAGACGAAGAAACCAAGATTGGCACATAACTATTAACTGAAGTATAGACTTGGTTCACCAGTTTTTCCACTAATGTCCTTTTACTGTCCCAGAATCCGGTCCAGGATACCACATTGCATTTAATGTTATTTATTTATTTATTTATTTATTTATTTATTTATTTACTTCCAATAATGGATTTTTTTTAAAGATTTATTTATTTGAGAGAGGGAGAGAGTGCGTGCTTGCGCACAAGAGCACGAGTAGGGGCGGGGGCAGAGGCAGAAGGAGAGAAGCAGACTCCCCGCTTAGCAGGGAGCCTGACATGGGGCTCAATCTCAAGACCCTGGGATCATGACCTGAGCCGAAACCAAGACTCAATTGCTTAACCGACTGAGGCACCCAGGCACCCCTGCAATAATGGATTTTAAGGAAAAAGTGATGTGATCAGATTTGTCAGTAGAAACAATAAGCAGAATTCTTAGGGCACATGTGAGGAAAATACATTGGAGGGGCCCAGATCAGGGGCAGAAGCCTTGCTTAGAAGCTGTTGGCAAAGTCCAGGTAAGGGATGACAGTGGTCCCAACTCTGGGAGCAGGATGGAGAGGAGGATCGAGGTGTGTTTGGGTTTCATGGTGGGGACCTTTCCTGAAGTAGAACGGGCAGGATATAGGACAGGCGAATCTTGATTCACCTCGTCCATCTAAGACATGAACACATGTGTACAGCAGAATTTAAACAAAGATGGAGGAAGAAAAGATCTCTGTCCCAGATCCTTGGGATGAGATTATTTCTGCAATTAAGCACTACATTTAATTCTGAGCTCCCTGAAAGCAAGGCAAAAAGGGAAGCATGATGATATACATAGCTCTCATTATCTGTTAAAATCCAGTATACTCAAGGAAGAGAAAGAGACTGGCCAGATTGGAGAGGGAGAAATTAAGTCTGAAGGGCACCTTGGGGTAGATCATGCTTGTCCCTGATTCTGCGAGCTCTGGGGAAGCTCCATCTCTGGGGATCACTGATTCTTCCCAGTGTTCTCTGTTCTGGAGGGGATAGCCTGCCAGCACATGGGAATGGGGAGCCCAGCCTTATTGTAAGAAAATATCTTTACAGCCAGCCAGCCAGAAGCGTGAGAAGGTGGAAATGATTCTCTAGCAGAGTGGCATGTGGCTCGGTACCCTATCTTACCTCTTACCCTTCTCAGTCCTTTCCCGTCCCCTGCTCACTGGACTTCCCAGGAGTTCCGCAAGAGAAGCTGGGCAGGAAGTTGAGGTCCAAAGCCAGATGGATGAACTTGACCAAAATGGCCCAGCAAGTTAGGGAGAGAGCCATCCATGGAGAAGGACCCTGCCCTTTTGGTTTCAGAGCCTGGGTGTTTCTTAACCTGAAAGCTCAGGGGTCCTACTAATTCATGCACTCATTCAACACAAGGTAGGGGGCACTAACCACGACTTTCGGGGCTGTACCCACAGGGAGCTGGCCTTCTGGTGGGAAAGTTGAGACTTTGACAACCAGCTCTCACTGAAGAGGCCTGAACTTGGCCATCACTCTCAGGGAGGTGCAGGCCTTACCTGCAGAGACCAAAGAGAGATCACGTCCTGCTTCAGGAGTGGGAGGGGGGGAAAAGCAGAGGAAGACTTCCAGAGGAAGGGCCAAGAATCCCGCTGGACTGGATTTCAACCTAGGCACGGAGCGTGTGGGTAGGAAGGGGAAGGTCATTCCAGCTGCCTGGAATTATGACCCCTTCTTTTTGAGATGTGAGTACTTTGACGTTCATTATCTCATTTCATCTTCGGAAAAAATGTGGAACGTATTAGGATCCCCATTTTTAGACTCCGAGGAGGCGTGTCCAAGACCACAAACGGAATTAAGAATGGCAAGTGTCCTGATTTCATCCAGAGTGATGTGCACGCACCGCCCTGAGCGCCTTGCGGTCCCCGCAGCCCGCTTTCCCTCTCCCGCCCCATCTCATCCTTCCCCACCCGAAAGTCCCACCTGAAGCCTAACTGGGTTGCGTCCTAACTGCGCTCTGGGCGCCACGGAGAGTCAGGGGTTAAAGCCCGTGGTCCGGGTGGCCCCTTCCCCCTCCCCAGCCCTCTCGCCTCCTCTCGGCGCCGCGCCTGGAGCGTGCGTCCCGGAGACCCGCACGAGAGAGGAGGGGAAAAGTGGGCCTGTTTCTCGGGTGGCCAATCCACCGAGCCCGCGGTGCCCCAGAGGAGGCGCCAGCGCTAGGCCAGCGCCAGGCCGGGGCTGCCTGCTTCCCGCGGCAAAGTACAAATGCGCCCGAGCGCGGCGCCTGGCGCCCTTGGCGTGCACAGCCGGCCCGCGCTCAGCCAGCCCCCGCGGCCGCCGCGCCGTCGCCGCCGCCGCCGCGGGTACCGCCGCCCCGGGTACCGCCGCCCCGCCGCGCCCCGGGACCCCGCAGCCCTCCCCCGAGCCCACCGAGCAGGGGGCGCCGGCCGCTTCTAGCCCGCGCGCCCGGAACAGCCCGCTGGTCCCGCGCGCCTCGGCCGACGCTGCGCGCTCTGCAGACCCCTGTCCTCCCCGTCTTTCTCCTCCTCCCCTCCCTCTCACCTTCTCCTTTGCTTTTACTGCTTTCCCTTCCTGCCGCACCTTCCTCCATCTCTCCATCTCTCTCTCTCCTTTCCCCTTGTTCTCTTTCCACCTTCCTCTTATTCCCACCTTCCACCTTGGACCTCCCTTTCTGTCCACACCACCTACTCCACCCTTCTCTGACTCTCCACTGTAGAGGCAGCCCTCCCTGGGTCTGCGGGTTGCTTTGTGCCCCTGTGCCTCAGTGTCCTCATCTCACTTTCTCCCGACGCCCCTCCCGGCTCAGCGCCCGGCGGCCTGGCCCTGGGGGAAGGAAGGATGGTTCCCGAGGTAAGGGTCCTCTCCTCCTTGCTGGGACTCGCGCTGCTCTGGTTCCCCTTGGACTCCCACGCTCGAGCCCGTAAGTAGGGGTGCTGGTGGGGCTGGGTAGGCAGAGGAGGGATTCGAGCCCCTGGGATGTGCGGGGGGGCGGGGGGGCGGGGGCAAGTGCCAGGACTCGGGACCGCAAACTGTTCTGACAGCCATAGGGCAGCACCTGTGTGGGGAGAGTGGAGACTTCTCTGCCGACCAGTATGGGCTGATGAGTGTGGGATACTGCGGGGGAAACTTGGGGAAACTCAGAGCCAAGGGGGCTGCTGCCACGGACCTGAGGATGCGGGGGGGGGGGGCTGAGGGCGGTGGGAGAGAGGGCAGGACACTGTGTGTGTGTGTGTTGGCTGCTGGTGGTGCTTAACGTTCTCAGGAGAGAGCCGGGCATGGCTGGCTGCAAGGGTGTGATGAAAGTAATGAAGATGTAGACTACTGCATTCAAAGGGAGCCCATGGAAAGACAGAAGAGCTAACTAGACAAACCTCATTCTGTTACCCCTTGTGATCCTCACAACACTCCCATGAGGTGGGTATTGTCATTTGCATTTTACAGATGAGAAAACAGGTTGACAGAAGAAACTTGCTTAAGTTAATAGAGCTAGTAAGCCATCCAAAGCCCGAGCTCTCCAATTCCAAATCCTATGCTTTCCCCCTCTCCCCCCGCCCCACAGCATCTGAAGGAACCTTGATTTGGAGCTTTAAGACTCTGGGAGGCAGCAAGGGCACAGGGAGATAGACCAGTCTTCGCTATCCCAGATCTTTTGAATACCAGCAGGTGGGGGGCACCGCTCTAAGCCTCAGTTCCCTAATCTATAAAATGGGAGTCAAAATCCCAGGGCTGTTGTGAGAATTAAATTGGAGAAAATATGTCAAGCAACTAGCACCAGCAACTAGCTGGTACATGGTAGCATCATTAAAAATATTAGTCTCCACTTAGACGCAGTGTAACCTCAAACAGTTTATATAATCTCTCTGAACCTCAGTTTCCCCCTACCCCTGCAAGAGGCTGGTGGACCCCCTCCCCATCCCCGATCTCTTGGAATGCTGTGAGGATGGAAAACAAAACCAAAGATACACTTAATGAGAAGGAAGGAACTTAGTTCAAACCCTAAAATACCTGATAAAGAAACCGAGGAAGGAGGAGCAGGGGTCTGCTCCAGGTTACACAGCACAGGGACTGGGATGAAGACCCCAGTTTCCCAAGTCCCAGCCTAGCGCTCTGTCCTCTCCGCAGCTCAGCTCCCCCCTTTCTTTTGCTGCCTTTCTTTTGCACGTGACTTTCTGGAGCTGGTGGGGCTGGATTCTGTTTCATTCTTGTCTCTGCTTGTGAGGGCAGGCTGCATGTCTGGTCGTCTCTGGGCTGCCGGCAGCATGAGACTCACAGAAGTCCTTAGTAATAAGTAATGGAAAGACCTCAGTGTGGGGTTCAAGTCCTGCCTCTGGCCCTCAGCAGTTGTGTGACTTATCATACGTCACAACTTCTCTGAGCCTCAATTTCTTGATCTGAGACAGAGACACACCTGGAACCCAAAGGGCTCTTGGGAGGATTCAAGGAGGTGACTGTGTTAAATTAGCCAGCACAATGCCTAGTACTCAGTAAATGTCTCCTCCCCTTCCTTGGGCCCCGGAGGTTTCCTCCTAACACTTACCTGTTGTTTCTTAAAAGGGACTTACCACAGACTGCCCTCCACGCCTGCCCCCCTTCCTCTTGGCAGAGCATTCTTAGCCCCCAAGGCTTTTCTCCAAGCATCGCTGCCCTGGATACCTCTCTGACAGATGAACCAGAATCAGATCATTGTGCAGGATTGCTGATGTCCTACCCACACGCCTCCTGTCAACCTCCCGTATCTTGCCAGCCCTTCAGCACCTTGCTGGGTCACACTTCTTCCAGCAAACTTTCCTTGGCCACCCACGCCCCTTCCATCTCCTTCCTCTGCGCCTCCACTGGCCTTCAGGCCCCTACCTCTCACTGGGTCCTGCCAGAATTCTATCTCCCCTACAGCCTGGAGCTTAGCTCCACACATGCAAGAAAATTGCTCAGAGCAGACTTGAATTAAGGTGAGGTGGACTGGCATTCAGAGGGGTGTGTTCAGATTCTGGGCTGTCAGAGCTGAAAGAGCCTTTGAAAATCATCTGCTTCTACCCGCAGTTTTCCTATCCTTATAGTTAAACTGAAGCCCAGGAGTGGGAGAGACTTGCCCAAGTTCACACCGCAGATTTATTAAAGAAAAGAATACACAGATGTGTCACTTATTGGTTTTGTGCATTGGGACAAATCACTTCCCTTCTCTGAGCTTCACTTCATCTACTGCTGACTCTCTATGAATCTAGGAACAATCCTGTTCTACAGGCATTTGCCAGGGTCCTATTTGGGGTCTCTTAGGAAGGTCCTTGTCTTAGTTCAAGTAAGATCCCACAGGCCTGTCGTGCATAAGACATCTCCTGGTGACACCTCAGGCGCTTTCAGAAGTGATGCCAACAGATGGGAATTCTCAGGTCTGCGTCATGTCAGATTCCTGAGGTGGCTCAGCTCTGCAGAATGCCAAAGGCCTGTGAGCATGCATGGCGGTTTGCTCCTCGCAATGCAAGACTATTCAAACAAAGGTTATTCTGTCCTTGGCTCTGCTTCCAGCCACAGATTGAGTTCAACCTGGACGGAGTCTCAACTCTGGCCACAGGCTGAGCCCTGATCCTCAAAACTGTGACCACAGATCGAACCCTGATTCCAGGTCCATGACCTGGTCATTGATACTGATCCCGGCCCCAGGCGGAACCACAGACATGCATGATGCTAGTCAGTTTGGGCACCCATCCCCCTGTGAATGAGAACCTGCATAGTGTCTTGACTCCCTCTCCAGTGCTCTGCCCCTAGGTCAGTGCCTCTCTATTGTGCTCTTCCCTTACTAATTGCTACCCCCACCCCCAGCCCCCTTAAGGTATCCGGCATGCGTCTGCTTTCTCTTCCCTCCCGCTGTCCAATCGTGCTTTCAGGAGACAGTTATCAAGTAAAAACATCAATCTCTCTATCCTCACTCCAAGGGTAATGCGTATGGTAGGAACCGGAGCTTCTGTCCCCAGGTGACAGGATCCCAGACTGCAGAAGTAGAGATGGGGCAGAAAGGGAGCTCCCGTCGTATGACGTGGCACGGAGGACAAATTGGAGTCAGAAGGTCCGGGCTTCAGCCTGGCTCTGCTAATTCCAGCTGTGACACCAGACAAATCACCCTTCTCTGCCCCTCAGTTTTCCCAGCTGTAAAGAGAGATGGTTGACCCAAACAGGTTATCATTCAGACCATTCTGGCTTTAACATCCTGTGATTCTAAGACTCTAAGATCCAGAGATGCTGTTGCCTTGATTCTGAGTCTGCTCTGGACCTTGGAAAAAGCAAGTCGGGGGAGTTTAGATCTACAGCCTGGTCGTCCTGCCCTCAGACACCAGGAGAGCGTACCTAGAAGGCCCAGAACAGTGGGTGTGGAGGGACACCCACCAGTAGGGACCCTGCCTTGCTGTTCAGCTTAGCTGCATCCCCATCTACCCGTCCGGATGTGCATGGGGGAAGGGGGCACCCGAGGGAAGGCTTGACATCTGGCTCCAGGCAGGCCCCTCCCTGGGTGGGTTAGGTGGTTCTGCACCTCCTCCCTCCCACCAGTAGAGGTCTCTGTCTCACTCACTCGCCAGCAGGCGGAGCCCCGCGACAGCTGCACAGGGTTCCAGCTGTTGCACCTGTTCCAGGACTGGCCTCTCAAGTTCCCCCAGGCACTAGCCATGGCGCCGGCCTCTGGGGGAGGGATCCTGGGTCCCTTGGGCTCCCAAAGAGAAGGACTGGTGTGAGTGCGGTGCCCCTGGGAGGTGCAGCGCCGAGATCATTTCAGGCAAGCCCCTGGACAGGATCGCATCTCCTACCAGAGAACGCCATCCGTCCCGGTCTTCTTCTGATACCCGTTCTTATAGCCGGATTCTTCCGTATGGCTCACCTGGATCCTTCTGTTTGCACTTTAAAGCCTTTTCTTCTGGCCCTGCCCCCTTCGGGAAGGGATGTGCCTATAAGCAGCCCCCCAAGATCCGAAGACTGCCACTAGAGTTTGTGCTGGCATAAATCAATGATCTTAGGCGAGTCCTGATCCCTCTTCTGGGACTCAGTTTCCCCATCTGTAAAATAAAGGACTGGATGTCATCGCTCAGTCCCTAACTTTCTAAGATACCGTGAATCTAAGTGTACGTGTCCAAGGCAGAAGAGGATGTAAATGGTCTCATCTCTGCCCCCCTGACGCTTGCCGGTAACAGAGCTGCCCTTCCTGGTTTGACAGGGCTCTCCTTTGAGGTCCTTCTGTGCCCCCGAACATCTGTCATGTGTCAGAGAAGAGTCAGGTTCAGAGAAGTGAGGGCCTTTTCCCTAGGTCGCCCAGCTTCGCCCCTGAGGACCTGAGGTTTTCACTTCTGACTCCTTCCCCCATTGGGTGCCAGCGCCCAGAGCAGAGCTTATGTCTGGGAGGGAAGCAGGTTTGTTTGTGTGAGGGGGAACCATAAATAAATAAAGTATGGCTGTGTGGGCGCCAGGGAAAAGATGGGAACGTTCTCACATTCCCGCACAGCTGGCTCGCTCAGGTCCTTGCAGGCTGGGGACAGGCCAGCCACAATCCCAGGCCTCTCTCCTCACACCCCACACACCCCCGGTCTCCTCCAGCTTCCCCTGCAGCCCAGAAGCTTCTTTCTGGTTGTCTTTTCTGCTTCCTGTTGGAAGAATTCCCAATCACACTACCCACTCCTAACTACCCCCTAGGAGGCCTTTATCATAGCATGAGTTTCAAGGCAGACTGTGGGACGGCCTTGGATGGGGCGTGAAGGTCATGGAACTGTTCATCCTCTTACCTGCCCAGGCCCCTGACCTTTTTGTACATGGTGGTGTGTGGTTTGGGAGTTCAGATGGCAGATGGCGAGAGCTGGAAAGGGGAGGTCAAACGTTACTTCCTGGTAGGTGGCAAGGTCAAAGTGCTAAGAGGGATGTGGCTACCTTATCACATGATGAAGTATT